TTTAATACTATAATTATGTCTTATGCAAATAACCATTTATGTATTGATTAATAATTCATTATAAATATTTAAATAGCTAATTGCAAACAAAATTTAACATAAAAAAATTATCTCCTTATTTACTTAAATTTCATTTTCCATAAGCGTTAATTTTAATTATCATATATATACATAATGTTTAATTATTTTTTTAAATATGTAATTATACGTTAAGGAAAATTATACTTGCTTACATTTAAATATATTGAATATAAATATATGTTTTATTATTCGTTGATATTGTTGTTACTAATTTAATATATGAAAGTATTATCATTATCCGTGTATGCTGCCACCAATCTAATTTTTCATATAATTGTTATTTAAAACTGTAAATAAACATTAACTACTATGTGATTCACGATTTGTATTTATTCGAGATAATAATGGATTACAGTCACTCTTTTTAGCTACTTTTCTGCTATTGGTAATTCGTAATTGGTAATTGGTAATCCGGCTCGTAGGACCAAAATGTATAAAAATTAATTCTACTAATCCGTCTCAGGAACCAAACGTGTAGAATTAACTAAGAAAGCCACTAGATGTTGTGTGGGAGAATGCGTGAGCAAGTGGAAAGGTTAATGCACTGATTCAATAATTAACATATATAATTGTTGTTGCTGTTTATTCCATTTATTTTCAATTTATTTCCAATTTAGGGATGATTAATCGTGATGAAATTCCAAATGATCTTTATGTTTCTCAATAATAATGTGGCGTTGTGATATACTTTTATTGGAGAACTAGAGGATGACAAATTCCTTATTCTCTGGACGTAAGTGGTGATATTATGATTTACTGTGAAAGTGATAGGTTATAATCTATTGAATATTACCACTTGTGAGGTTATGATCGTTTGTTGTGCTCTGAATGAACACTACAATTCTTGTTAGTGCCGTAATATTAATAGGTGTTGCAGTTGCCTCTGAATAGTGGGCCATGTGAGTGAGCACGTGTCTAAGATAGAGGTTAGAGGAAATGCGCGCCACTTTATGGCGCAAATTGCTGGTCTTGCGTAGTGAGCATGCGTGAGAAACTTCTGTGGTCGGACAGCTTACGGTCCGTTTTCATAGTAAACCGTGAGGTGAAGAATCAACCCTAGTGGTAAGAACTGACTTGGAAGTTGTAGTGTGATATTTCTAGTTTCTCCTCACAGGCTTGATGAGAAGTTTCCATGCACGAACTGCACTTGAACTTTCCCTTGTCCCTTCTGCTGAGATGACGAGAATCTCAGTACATGTGCTATTAGAGCTTGATGAGACTAAAGGTAACTGGATATTGAATAATAACCGTACAAAGATATTTTACAAGACTCAGCTGATCGACTTTTCTCTGGTCCTCCTCCATGAGAATAAATCGTGACTTATCTGGTGAGAATAAGTGGTGGTACATTGCATTGTCCTTCTTAAATAGTTCACTGACCCGGTTCAACTTGAAATCCTTTCTTCTTTCTTGTATCCAATCAGAGTTTGACTTTAGGCAGCATGATGGATCATGCACGCCTTCGTTTCCACTTCCTTCCGGATCTAGTCTTGAATATACTAATCGGGAAAGTGTCGGAAAGAGGGGAGCTTCTACTATTGGTCGTCTCTTCCTTCTCTGGGACTTAGCTAAATGAAGAGTCCTCTAAGGCATGGTCGGTTGTCTAGCGTGACTGATAAGATTCGGCGTAGTTAAGAACAATGTAAGCATTGTCTTAAGATGCCGAGTGCGCAAGTACGCTTATTATTTGTTGTCGCACGTGAAAGGTTTTGAATTGCAATGAAATTTAGGAAATGTTTTGTACTTGATAGTTTACGTATATCCGATATTATTTCAGAATCTACGTCTTCTTGGCAGTAAACAACAAGATCGTTTAACTGCACCGGAAAATTATGAGCACGTTTTTAGATAAGCGAGAATAAATAAATTAACTATTCACGGGTGTTTTCCAGATGTATTGACCTTTTCGAGTGTCGAACGATCGTGGGAAGTTGTGGTAATAAAACTGTTCTCGCAATCTCGAACAGAAAACTTAAATTGATAAATTGGTAAATAAATATTTACATATTTTATTTATGATGGTGATCCAATTTACACTTTTCTATTAATATAAGATTAAATACACGGTTAATAACTTCATTTTGTCATTGATTTGTAATTCCCGTTATTACTGTACACTTGCTCCACATATTGTTATCTTTATTTTTTAATTACAATCTATTTTTTTCTTCAACATTCAGCTAATTCCAGAAAATTATATTTTTTTATTTTAACAATATTTCTTGATATGAAAATGAATATGTTAAATTTTATACATTAAATATCTGCGACACAGTACATTTGGTACGATATTTTTATTTAATATTCAAATTTTATTTGACATATAAATTATAATAATAATAATAATAATCAGAGTGTTCAAGATTGATGCAATTTCGAAGACCATTGGCTCTCGGCATCACTAGTCTCTCTAATTCTCAAATTTCTGTAAACATTTGGGACGAGTAATTTCGTGTACATGTTCTGTTTTGGTTTTAAATGCCCTACAATGCTTTGTATGATCTTCGCATACTAACGTCGATTAGAATTTTCTAAATTTCTTAACCTTGTTTATTTCTTAGAATTCTCGAACCTTCCATAGTTTTCTTTCTGCGCCTCATGTAAGATTCCAGTACAGTAACAACGATGCTTTGTTGCCATCTAAGTAAGCTGCAGTGCGTATATTTAAGGACATCATACTATGCCTAGACGCTCATTGTAATTTAGTCAGTCAAACAGTTATCACAATGAAGGAATAGACGTTTTAATTATCAAGTGTGCTACAACTTACAAGCATTCAAGGGTGCTGACTGCATTACGAGAAACTATACGGCTACAACAAGTATAGTTTCAAGGTATGTGCATATTTATTTTTTTGAGGCCACACGTCCGATACAGGCGTGTGTGCATACATATTTTGAGGTCACATGTTCGGTATAGGCGTGTGTGCATACACACACTTTAAAGGTCACATTTCCATACTGAAGTGTGAGCATATTTCTGCTGATACTTACAACATTAGTAGAAACCACGAAATTGTCACCATCAAGGAGCAACCACATCATTGAGACAAGACAGAGCGTACACTCTTCTCTTCAAGTGAATACTGCTTATTGTTAATGTAACTGTTAATAAACCATATGTTAAACATGTTTGCATATACTACACATTTCTACAATCCTTCCATTTGACTCCCACCTAAGCACCTGCTTGGGTGGGCGGCAAATTATTAAAGTTATCGAAACATTGGCAGTTCGAGCCAGGAAATAATACCACTTCCAAACACAACGTTATTTAACAAAATCTAGTTTGAAATTTTTTGTATGTCTTTTCAATTTCTTACATTTAATCTATATTATATAAATTTTGGTGTTATAAACAATATTAAATTATAAAAATATTAAATTTGTATGTGATATTGTTAAAATTAAATATATTAGTACTAAATTTATATAATAATAAAAATACAAGATTGTTATAAGCTTATATATCTAGAAATTGACGGAACCGCAGTATTTAAAACATTTAATTTTTTCCATATTATTTAAAATATTTGAATCAGTTCATAGATTTTGTTGTTTTTGAATAATTTCTACTATCATTTATAATATTTAAAATTAAAATAGCAAATTTCTATTTTTCAGTTTTTAAGTATTATTTTAAACATTTGCAAACATCAATAAGTAAAATATATGTTTTACATATATAAATAATTTAATTTTGATCTTGATTATGGATGGTAAATAGTATATTAAATGATGTTTATGCAATCCGTAATTAACATTGTTGATTTGTATTATCATATCTGATATATAAATATGTGTCGCATATGTGCATACAACATTGAAAATATATTAAATCTACACATAATTGTACGTACATACCAACCATATATATATATATATATATATATATATGTTAAATTTAAAAATTAACAATTTGATAGCAATAATTCTAGATTACATGCATACACTACTTTGTACACATAGTGACAATATTTTTTATCATAAAGGAGATAAATATAAATATCAAATTACATTTAAAAAGAAATTTTTATTTTTATTGAATTTATCATAATATAAAACAATGTAATTGCAATCTTTTTATTCACAAAAAATTTTAATTATTCTAATACTTAAATAAACAATATAAAAATTAATATTTAACATTAATGAAAAATAATATAAAATTATATTTTTAAGAAATTTCAATTTTACTATAAAATCCTAAAACAATGAATAAATTAATTTAGAAAATTCGTTTCTAGGTTAAAACTTCCTGCACTTACAAGAACTAATAAGCTTAAAATTCATTACGCATGTTTGAAAACGAGTTTTCTTAAATATTTTAAAAACGTTTTATGATCGGAACATAGATCACATTTTTTTTATCAATCACATTGTAAATAAATTTGAAAAATTGTAAAAGGTAATCTTAAATAAAAATTTTACTTGAATATATGATTAAATGTAATTGTCTATAATACATTTACTTTCCAATTTACTGATTTTTAATTTGTACGTGGTTAATATTAATAAAAAGCATTTTATTTTATTCTTCATTTATTAATGAAGCAAAATCTTTAATTATATGTTTTTAATTTTATGTATTTCTACGAATATATATTTAAAAAATGTTACATATTTACAATATATTTTTTAAATTGTATATTTTATAATTGATAAAATTATCAATAAATAATATGGTGATTTCAAATGGCTTAAGGGCAAATTTTAACAAGAAAGGAAACCAAGTAATCAAATATAAGCATATCTGTTAGTTTGATTGTTAAAACAAAATCTCAACAATTTAAATATATTTTAATAAATAAACTATCATTACATAAAATAAAACATAGAATTAATTGTAATACAAATAATGCTAAAAACTCAATTTTTCAAAATAAACATTTTTCTACCAAACCTAAACATAATATAATAAATAAGAAATTAGAAAATGACAAAAAATTTTTTAAAGATACTGATGACATTATTGAAGATAACCTCAAGAACAAAGGTGTAAAAATGTTTAAAGGTCTAAAAATTATCAAAAAAAATTCTTACAATAAAAATATAAATGATTCTGAGATAGATGTTAGTAAATTTAGTGATGATGATGTAAATGATAGTATAGGATTAGAAGCATTACTTAAAGATGATATTACTGATGATGATGAAGATTTCAATGAAAATGAGTTAAGTGATGACGATGAAGATATTTCTGATGAAGATGATGCAATAAACTATAATGATTTGAAGTTCGGCATAAATGATAATGAAATTGATAGTGTTTATGACAAAAATGATGAATTAACAACTTCATTAAATAAAAGTTTGATTGCTGATAATGGTGATGATAATATTAGTAATGAGAGAAATGATGGAACAAAATATCAAATAATTGAAGAGGAAAAATTATGTAAAAAACCACTCGTAAATATTCAAGAAATAAATTCAAATTTGCTTTCAAAAAAACAAGCTAAACTTGATGCTAGAACAGTTTTTGTTGGCAATATACCAATTGATACATCTATAAAAACTATTGAACAGTTATTTAAACCGTTTGGTGAAATAGAAAATCTCCGTATTAGAGGAGTTGTACCAAATGATGTTAGGACATCTTTTAAAATAGCTACTATTACAAAAAAAAAATGTCCTAAATTAAAATCAATGTATATTTTCATTGTATTTAAAGAAGAAGCTTCTGCAAAACTTGCATTAAAATTAAATGGTCACAAATTGGGAAATAATACACTTAGAGTTGACTTTTCAAATTCAAAAAATAAATATAGAGATGAAAAAAAATCAGTTTTTATTGGAAATTTACCATTTGGTTAGTAGCTTAATAATGTTTCTTAGAATATGTATAATCACATGAACGATATTTATACCAAACAATTATATTAATTAAAAAAAAATTTTCTTTTCCATAAATTTCAGATATCACCGAAGATGAAGTAAGGGCTCATTTTACTTCATGTGGGAATATTGAATCTGTTCGTATAGTTCGAGATCGCAAGTCAGGTATAAGCAGAGGTATAGGATATGTTAATTTTATTGAAGAAGATTCTGTTAGTTTAGCTCTGGAACTACATGATACATTATTGAAGAATTGTAAATTAAGAGTAAAAACATACTGTTTTAAGTCTAAAGAAATAAAAAGAAAACATAAAAAAGAACATATACAAAACAATATTAAAAAGAAATTCAAAAGCAATAAATGTGAAATTGCAGCATTTAAAGTAAGTTTTTTAATTACAGAACTAAATTCTTAATGATTCTTATAAATTTAAATGTATATTTTTGCAATAATTATATAAAAAATTGCAATTATTTTTTCAATCATTAAATGTATTTATTATATTTTCAAATAGAATAGTAAAAATGATGAAAGAAAAAAAAGGTCACCAAAGAAATTAAAAAGGAAAAAAAGCATTGACAACAAAAACAATATTTCATTCCATGGACAAAAATCTGATGTAAAAAAGAAATTTAAAAAGAAAATAGATATGAAAAGAAAATTTTTGGCTAAAAAACTTACCTTCATAAAAGAATTATCAAATATGACTAGCTAAAAGAAGTCTTTATATTCTATTTTTGCTAAAACATTTTTGTTTGTTTGCAATTTAATAAATGTTAAAAGAAACTAATCGAATATTTATCATTAATTTATTTCAGAAACGTTTATTTAATAAGTGGTATACAAACATTTGATACATATGAAAAATTATAATACATTTTTATATATAATTAGATTAAAATTTTTTTGTTTTTCGTTTTCTTTGTATTTTGAGTAGTTCATTAATTTCTTTCAATTTCAATTTTAAACGAAAATATTCAATATTTTAAAATCTACTAACTTCTATTAATAAGAAATTTATATCTATCAGTTTTTTTATGCATTTAATATAGATTTATAATTAATAGAGAATTAAATTTATTATTTATTTTTACATTTATTTATTGTATTTTAGATTAACATACGAAATTTTATTTTGTAAATCGCGTGGAAAATGTTTAATGTTTTTTAAAGCACAATTTTTACAAAACCGTTTAGTAAAGAACAAACTACATTCAATACAGACAGAATTTTTGCAAACAGTGCAATCTGCACCAAGAATTAAAATTTCACGGCTATTAAAAGAATTAAAGGGATCTTTTATTATATAACAATCTTCTGCAAAAGAAAGATACTTTGCAAACGGAGGTTTTGTCCCTTTATAATCATATAATTCTTCTAAATGACAATGTGAACATTTCCATACACTGAAATTCTTATCTTTATACCCATAATCCAATGATTGTAATGCAATTTCTTTTGAAATATTTTCTATTTCCATGCTATAAAAAAATTTTTTTATAATTGTAAATAAGATTTTAATAAAAATTATTTAAATTTATTTTATAATTTCTAATTCTATTGTTATTGTTTATTAAAAATAAATTATAAATTATATTATAAAGCCAAAAATATTGATACTGAAATATATTGAATGTCAGCATATTTATATAAAAAAATATCTAATGTTTGTTAATTTTCAATGCTCCTATTTTTGGTGATTCTTGTGGCCACCATTGAGGCTTAACAATTTTCAAAGTGCAACCTTTAACAAATAATGTTTTAGATGCTATGGTTTCTCCAATTCTCATTAATCCTAATCCAACAGTACCCACATACCCTCTTATTTTTCCGACTATATTTCCATTGTCATTTATTATTTTTTCATCATATTCAAAGTTTTTACCATTGATATTATTAAATATTAATGGCATAAGGCGTTTTCTTATAACACCGGTGTGATGTGTGCGGGCAGTGAGTTCTTGTCCAATATAACAACCCTTGTGAAAGCTAAGTCCATGTAAGTAATCACAATTTATTTCCAAAGGAAATGAAACTCCAAATAAAAGATCTTGCACACCTTCACCAATACCTAATTTATATCTAAAAGATCTGTAATCAGAAATATCTTTTACTATTGAGATATTTGGTCCCAAATAATTAATTAACTCAGTATGTGTAATATTTGATTCTGTTAATATTCTAAAACCTAATTCAAATATTCTAGGATCATTATATATCAGAATATTATCTATAAATTTATGATACTTATAATTATTCACTCCACAGGGAAGAAGTTTTCCTTCAAAATTATGATTATTTTGTAAATTACAATAATTTTGATAAATTATATTTGTATCATAAACTGACCAAACCTTCATACTATTTTCCATAGTTTTGATGTTTACATTTTTTCTTAATTTATACAGTTGCAAATGTTTTATTAAATTTATTAATACGGTTGAATCACATTCAATATAAAATAATCCTTGTTCTTGTACTTTATAAATAATGATATCAAATAATACTCTTCCTTTTGTATTTAATAAAATAGAATACATGCTTACAGCTCCTTCATCAAAATGTCTCATATCATTAGTAGTTAAGCCTTGCAAAAAAGGCAGTACATCATTGTTTGTAAGTTGAATTAAACTTCTATGTTCCAGATATACAAGATTTCGTGCAATTGCTTGTCTTGAATGATATTTAATAAAATTTGAAAAATAGTATTGCTTTAATATATACAGAATTGAAGCTCTTCGTAACTTTATCATTTTTTAATGTCCTATATAAATATTTTATTTAAGAATTATGTACAGCTCATATAACTTAAAATGAAACTATTGGCAGATTTGATACTAAATTATTTATACACTAATGCATTGTTTTTATTAAGTAAAGTTTTATTTTTGTTGGTATAAGTTACTGATATTCATATAATTAATTGTTTTAACCTGTCTTTTGAATTTTATATTTCATTATAAAATATATGTCAACATAAATATTTTTTTTTTAAATAAAATCTGTTATTCAATATTTTCAATAAAAAGCATTAATATAAATTTATTAAACAGATGTTTAAAATAATGTACCTTAAAGAATACGTGTCCAAGCGCAATGTAAACGATATTAGATTGTTCACTTTTCAAGTTTTGCACATTTATATTGTAGTACGAAATAATTATCTATTACTTTTAAAAAATTACTTGAATATTGGTATGTTTCCTAGTTTTTCATTTCATCAAGCTACCAAAGGTTTATATAATATAAATACATTAACGGGCCATTAATGATGTGTTTATTATTGCATTTCTATCTAATTTGGTACCCTATAATTTTAGCAATAAAAAAATTTAAAAATTTCTTAAAAATTGTCAAATATAAATATTTCATTGAAATATTTTCAATTATTTTTATAGCATTAGAAGTATCTTAAAAAATTTATGTGAAAATTGTGAATCTAACCTTAAATATCATATCGCGTAAGATTACATTACCATTTAAATTATTTCATATCAATCAATCTTATAAATTACATAATTTAACACACGTCTTTTTACGCCGTTCTAAGTATATTTGATATTAAGAGAGAAAAGATAATACGTTATTATATTCCGTTGGTACTACTGTTTTTTTTTGCACATATTTCAATCTATTATTATAATTATTTACTCTGCTTTAAAATTGTCTTTATTATATGATAGCATGTTTTTATATAATTAAGTAATAACTGACGAATAGCAACTTAATACATAAAATCGTACTATTAAAGCCTAAAAAATAAATAAAATTATATGAATAATAATAAATATATAAAAAATAATTTAATAATATTTAAAATATCTAAAAATTTTAGATAATAAAGTTTTTATTCTTTTTGTTTTGAAGATTTTTGTTTCGTTAATTTTGTAAACGGGTAACCATTATCAATAAATATTTTTAATAAAGATTTTTTATCAACTTTTTTATGCTTAAAATATTTAAAAAATTATTATTACTTATAGAATTCGAAATTTTGTTTTTAAATTACTTGGAATAGAAACTCAATTATGATTCAGATCAACTACAAACCGCATTTGTTAGTCATATTTTACTTATAAATTTAATTTAGATACATTTAATTTACAAATCTTATTAAAGATAAATCAAATTTTCTAGACACCAACATTACTTAAATTTTGATTTTTTACTACTTTCTTTTAATAACACTATAAAAATAAAGCAAATTAAGTATATCAAACAAATTAATTGGTGTGTATATATAAATGCCTGTACTACAAATATTTGAATTATCCTTATGTTAATTGTTTCATCACAGTTTTTAAATATACAGATTACGTCAGTTATGTCTACATATAAGTGTTAATGGAGCGCAAACATATTGCAATATACTTTCTTGATTTGACAGTAACTACCAATGCACTGAAGTAAGATCATTTTTACTATTTAAACATTTTTTTTAATGCTTTGTATTTATTTGTATTTCTTGTACTTATAAATGTATACATTGTTAAAAAATTTAATTGATTTTTTATTTTTTTGTTAAGTTTCTATTTTGAAAAATGATTAGACATAGAAAAAATTTAGATATTAAATTTCAGATATTCGAAATTTAGATAATCAAGTTTACATTTAATTTTTTTGGAGTTAAAAGTGATTTTATTAATTTTGTAAATGAATAACCATTCATGTATAAATATGTTCCATAATTTTTTTAATCAACCTTTTTGTGCTTACAAATATATTAAAAAATTATTAGTCATGTGACCAACAAATTTTATAAATAATATTTTTAAAATATTGAAATCATAACAATGATTAATAAAAAAAACTTATGACATTTCAATTTTACTATAAGATTTATTTCTTATTTATATCATTTGGCAGTTATTTAATAATAATAATAATAATAATAATTTGAAACCAATTGATAATAATATAATAAGATGAAAATGGATAGAAATACAAATTTGTAATAAGTAGCATCTTTCAAAAAAACTTGAACCATAAGATCTAATAGATTACTATACTATTTTTTATTATTTATAATAGACAAAATTTAACATCATTTACAACTTTAACTATAACTTTAAACTAACATGACTATACTCAATGGTATAGTTAAAGTGGAGCCCCTAGTTACGGTCTCTGCAGTTAATCTTGAGCTTCTCCCCCCTCCACAACCTTTACCGTTGTAAACTCCCAACTCGTTTCGTTGTTACTGCTACCACTGGTGGCCGTCAGCAGAAGTGATTCAGTTTCTAGTGCACTTGTAACTGCTGTAATTATTGGTGCGTACATAATTAATCTGAGCGTTTGTATACTAGTGTTACCATATATGTATTATTTCTTATCGAAAGTGGCTTTCTCTGCTTACGTGTGTCAGTGTTTAAATTATTCCTGTGTATAATATTAAACTAATGTTGGGATCGAGACGCTGACAAAGGTCATTTTATATCATTAAGTGAAAGAACTGTTAAATAAAAAATTATTATACACTGCAGTGAGAAAAGTGAGTGATAAAATGTCAACAACAAGCACTAAAATCTATTCGGATGGTCATGAAATTGATGGCAGTTGGGTGCTACGAGTGTACGTCACAGACCTTAATATCCAGCGCAGCCTCAGAGTTAAAGGTGATCTTCACATCGGTGGCGTTATGCTACGTCTTGTCGAAGATTTGGGTAAGATTTTTGTTGCGTGTACTTCTTAAGTGTTCTTATAAATTATTTATTTTCTTTAAGTATACCAATTAAGTACTTCACCAAGAAATAAAATTCAGAATTTTATGAATCACAATTTTCATTTTTGAACTTTTTAAAAATTTTCTATAATCTGAACTGGTGATATTTAATCGATGTACAGATTTTACTGGTATACTCGAACGTTCGTACGTTCTTGCTATTGAAAAATGTATATTTTAATTTTAAAAAATACGATTACTCGATATATGTAATTGAAAGTTAGTTTTTGTTAATAAAAATAGTTGAATATTGATGAAAAACATATATCCTGCTATAATATACTGGTTTTTGGAATTCTATTATTTTAATTTAATATTGAAATTATATATTTGTCAGATTTAGTTTATTTATAGGTAATTGTGTAACAGTTGATATGACACACCATAGATCTTTTAATATATCGTTAGGTATTTAAAACCTAATTTAAATTAAACTATTACAATTTACACTAATCATTAACTATATATTTTCAACAATATCTATATTGTTAGTATGAAAAGTAAATGATTGGTATATTTAAAAATAATCTTATAATATGAAGTCTAACTAAAATTGAATTTACTGTCAAAAGAATACTGTAAATAAGAAGTGGTGAAGATAAAACAAATTCCGTAGATATTTTATATATTCTTCAATGTATGAATAATTCATTTTCACATTATACAACATTAATAAATTATAATTGTTAATATTCAATAAATATTTATTTTTTATTTTTTATTAACGTATAGATCGCAATTAAAATTATATCAATGTATAAATATGTATTAAATAATAATTGATTAACTGATATAATTATGATACAAGAAAGTTATACCTAACTAAGTGAATATTTATAAATAAAGAGAAACAAAATATTTGACCTCATATTAATAAAAAAACTAATTAACATTTAATACATATAACATTTGCGCAAGACCAAAAAAATTTTTTATTTTGCAATATTAAAAATAATTAGAGATAAATTTATAAATTAAAAAGTTTAATCGTATTTTTGTTTTTTGTATTATACACATATTAATCCATTATTAATTTACTCTCAATCATTTTTTATTGAATTCTGTTCATTCCTTATCTATTCACTACTTTAAAAGCATAATAGATAAATTCCTAAACTAACGCAATAATTCCATTGTTGGTATAATTTAAATGAATATATTCGAAAGCGATACTTTAAAGATTGCTATTTCAATTGTGAAAAAAATTAGTTTTAGTTGTTCATATATTAAATAATGTTAGAGTTAGTATGTTCGATCGTCAGTCATAATAATGACAGTGGATAAAACAAATGAAAAAATTATATATATGATATAGATTTATCTCATACTTTATCGATATTAAATTCTTCATTACTAACTGTTATAGTAATAAATTAACAAAACAAGAAAATTTAACAAATTTTTTGTATTTAAAAGAATATTTTCTTATATCTTTGCTATAATTGTAATATTCGCAGAAAAATGAATTTTTAACGAATTCACTAATCAAATACAAGCAATATTTTTAATACATATTTTTAAAGTAACTTTTTAATGTATTGAACAATTTGTGTATATGACTATTTTGTAATTATATATACTATTTATTAGCTTGCAGAAATTTTTCAATCAGTTGCTTTCAAATTCCAATTAATTGTTTCCTTAATTATAATCAAGCCTTCAAAGTCTATTATTTTTATTATTTAATTATTTAATTTATTTCAATTATAATTTTTCAAATGAAATAATCACAGTTGATTATAAGTCAAGTAAGTTTGAGCCTTATATATTGTAAGAATTACATTGAGCTAGTAGATAGTTTTTATCATTATTGTTGAATTAATTTCCCGAAAAAGACACTTATTTATTCTTGGTTATAAAAATTATTAACGAGTCTTGTCCAAAAAAATTTAAACAAATTCAGATTTCCATTCATTTTAATTTAAATTTTATAAGATTGATAAAAATCTATGGTAATAGATTTTCAAAACACATTGAGTGTTCTATGTACACAGTAATAAATTAATTTTTATTGGTTTATTAATATGATAATTTTAGTTCTTTTTATATAAAATGTTGTTTTACAAATAGGAAAAACATTTTATTAAGTCAATGTATTTTTCAAATCTTTAATCGTATAAGTTTTGAAATAGCTTTGTATGTTTATTATATATATATATATATATATATTATTTATATTGTTATTATTTTTCGATGAATACAAAAATAAGTTAAATATGATACAATTTTTTGCAATGTACAATATATTTCAAAAATATTAAAATAATTATATATTATTATAATTAAAAATATTTAATAATTTCTGACTCAATATATTACAATTTTTTATTGAATAATTAGTTTTTTACTTATGGTCATTAGTAATTCTGTTAAAGTAATTAAAGAAAGTCGTTTAATTATGGTTATTTAATGATTAAAAGGTAAGTCTCATCAAAAGTATTGTTCTATATTTTAGAGATTGCCAATGTAGCAGATTTTATGTAAATTGACGATAAATGTAAAATCACTTTGAATTTCAGGTTTTACACCTAAGCTATGAAATATTAATATAATAGTATAAAGATTATTGTATACAATATGATATACTTGTACGATTAAAGATACACAAAATGATAACTCAATGTATATGAAATTGATTAAAGAAGAAATATTTTGAGTATAATAATAAATTTTATCTATAGAACAAATGAATAAATTGCGATTTGTTTCTAAAGTATTTTTTAATTAATTATAGGTTTCGATTTGTTTTATATTTCAATACATATATTTAAAAATCACAATTTAAATCTTCCTGTATTTCTTTAATGCTATATATATATTGTTCTCGTTTTATTATAAATTATCTAAAACGTTTTATTGTTACATATTTGTCAGTTCTAATATTATATATCAATTTTTTGAATGGATTTCGTTTGTTCGATTTTATTTTTTATATATTTTTTTATCACAACGATGATTTTTAAAACATAAAAATAATGATGCCACTAATGAAATAGTTCCAGAAGTAGAAAATTTACCATCAAATTAACCTATTTAAAAGGTATTAGTTACTGCTTATTCCCTTATATCAATATATTTTTTATTAAATAACTATTTGTTTATCAAATTTTATAAGTTATTGATTACCCCTATATAAATAAAGAACAACGCACTATTATTGTTTGCTTTTACATATGAGTAAATGTTTTTGAATTTTCTTAATTTTCATCAGAAACACCATATTGGTGCTTTGATACAATTTTCAAAGAGTGATAAGTTCATGTGGTGTATATTGTAAAGATTAAGAATAAAGTTTTTATGTTATAGTTTAATGAAAGTACAATTTTATATGATTAAAAAATGCTTATTGGTAATTAAGTAATATTTAAATCAGGACATAGATTTCTATTTAATAATATTATATGACACAAAATGTAATTTTCTATTAATAATTTATATACATGTGTAATTGATAAAAACGAAAATTAAATTAAGGATGATGAAATATTTAGAATACTTTAATTAATCTAATGCATCAGTAACTTGTAACATTGGAAATAGATTCCTTAAAATATCTTTTAATGTCCTATAGTCAATTAAGATACATAATGTTATTTTTATTTCTTGTTTGTCTTATTATTTATGTAGATTGGCTTATTTATATTTATTTCAATTCGGCGAGTAATTTTTTCTGTGTGATTAAGAATATCACCAGTGAAAAGAAATATTATAATTTATTAAAATATTAAAGACATATTCTGATTTCATTTGATTAAAATGGTCTAATTTAAGGTTAAGAGTTTTTAAGTTAAGTTAAGAAATCTTTTTGAAAAGTTATTCATATTTTTTATTTTATATTTTTTATTAATTTTGTATCCATAATTTTAATTTCTAGAGTGAACAGTTAAAATTTAATATTTATCATATTGGCTTTTGTATATTTTCTATTATTTAAAATATTTCTATATATTTAAAACGATAATTTTTTTCCGCAGACTTAAACTAAGTTATTGAATAACTGACAAAAGTATTATATTCAAAAGTGTTTATATGGATTTTTATATTATTAATTTTTATCAATATACTTATTGTATTTACTTAACAATATTTTGTAAATATTTATTAGAATGTGAGTATTAATTCAATTTCTATATTTAAATTTATTATTTATTATTGTACTCAAGTTTATTATTAAATTATTTCTTAAATTGCTTTCATAAGGGATAGTGAAATTATGTCTTACAATCAGAAAGAATATTTTAAAATACTAACAAAATAAAAATTCAATAATAACATGATTTAATAATTCTAGATTAGATTTAAGTTCTTTGATATGTAAATTCATAATAAAAATTTTCATTTTTATAGAAGTGTTCCAAATTTTCTGTTTATCACTTAAATGAAAATTTAAACTAAAATATGATTGCTGTCTAATACGTATTTTATAATTTAAGCAAGCAAAAAATGAGTTAAATTTACAGTATATCGATTAAATAAATGAGTTATCGTTCCATCGAGTTATATTCAACTTCAAGGTATTGAACAAAGCTTTTCAGTAATAACCTACTGTCTGGGATCAGACTAAAAAACCTCCTTATGATGGTGGGTGGAGGCTTGCTGGCAAGTGGAAGGAGCAATGCAATTATTCAATACTGCCTTTAATGTTTATAGTCTTTTCTTTTATTAAATATAATAAATAATAAATAGTTAATAATCAATGAATGTCATAATGAATGTGTGATAGAGTGAATAGATGAGTGTTTTTTCATTAATTTGGTGGCGATAAGTCTGTCGTGGATTCTTGATAGCTGGAGCGTGATTCCCCTTCTCCCTTTGAGTTGAGTAGTTGTAGTGGGAGACTCGTGTTGGTAGGGGCAACGAGTTGGTGCCGCTTAGCCGCCGGTGTGGAGTGAGAGCTGTAGTGTACGAAGTGGTGGGAGGACGTCCGTGTGACGTCACTGC